GTGGGCCACCATCGACGTATGACCGTTCACATATCTGTCCATCCGTACACGAGGCTGTAAATCTTGTGCTATAAGCAAGACTGCCGTCAGTCTGGCGCCAGTCTTGTCATCTTGGGGAATAACCCCGCCAACCGAGCTAAAAATCTCTTTTTTATGCCCCATTCAACCTAGGTTAGGAACGGTCTTTGTTTATGTGCATTGATACCTAAAAATGGGTACTTCGATTACAATAGAGCAAACCCAATAAAAGCGTATGTTGAAGTGGATAAGGTTTACTTTATAACTCAAATACATAATTTGGTGGTGTATGAGTAACGTCATCTTATAACGGAGGATTTATTGAAAATATGTGGTGTTTTATTCAGAAAACCTATTATCTGTGTTTTATCCCTTAAATTAAGTTGTGTATGGAACAATGGGTATATAATTGGTTGTAATGGAGGAATGCCGTAAACAGCTGGTCATTTCTTCGAAAATGGTTGCATTGTTATTCGACCCACAACTAAAATGGGTTCGGTGGGTACCCTGTTGTTGTAATGCCGGAAACACATAAAAGGCTGGTATTTTATTGGAAAAAATCATTGTATTCGGAAAAACATGTCTGTCTACGGAAATGGGTACTTCTCATATTCCTGCCGAACCCGTCCACAGCTGGTCTTCTACAGCGGAGTAGTGCAATTCAGAAATATGCATGCGATTTGGTTCTTCTAATTTTTCCAAATAAAAATTTAGATGCAGTGCCAGCTGTGACTTATTATCGCATTAACCTAACTTAGGTTGGTTAACCGTGGTCCGCAAAAGGATGCCTGAGAGAGGTCAAACTGCTCTTAACCACTCAGTCGATGCACTACAAGCTCCTCCATTTAAACTCAGGTCCGTCATCCATATCTCATCCTATAAGAGCTTCCCACAACTAAACTTCTTCCTTGCATGCCCATTCACTTCCGCATTGGTTTTGCACAACAACCTTCGCTATTGCATGCTGCTTCAGTTCTTTACCACCTGTAAGACGTAACTAGACGAAAGAAAAGCTTCGTTCTGCATTTTCTAACCCCTGAACCGACCAGCCTCCTCGTACCAAAATCCTTTTCCAGACTGACACATGGCACTTGGACGACTTCCTGAAATACATGTCCTCAACAACGGAGGCATGGTCGGCTACTTTCAAGATGAGGTCTTACCACTTCACCACATTGGAGTGAAGTGGATAGTTGAGGAAGCCCTGGTTCGATTAGACAGGTTTCCCGGAGCGGAGTTTCCGCAGTCGATGCTGGTGTCTTGCATCCCCGTTCGCAACCCCATTGTGAACGAGAAAGTATTCCGGTCGCTGGTCAAGTGGTGCCGCCGTCCACTCCCCCTTATGCAGAACCTAAATGCATTTTACATCATGACCTACAATGCATGGTTTGCGGGCAAGGAGGAATTTGTTGCACATTTCCTCAGTCTAAAATCACTGCTCCATACCGACGTCTGGATCCTCTTTGGCGCCAACTTTGAAGACTGGTCTGTAACAAAGTTTTTGGCTGAATAGGGATACCCCGCTAGTATGACACGCAACGTTGCCATTGCGGACAACCTTCACACCGCAACCATTTACTGGAATCCATCAGCTGTAGAGATCACGTTTGAAGACAGAGATGCTATTGACAGCCTTCTCCTCGCTGTGCGGCGCAAAAAATACCGCAGCTTTCTCAGGGTAGCTACCACGGTTGCCTTCTTAAACCCTATGTTTGGTCTTATTGTGAAGCGTTTCGAGTGAAGGTTCGCAGGTACGGCGGTGTGCTTTTAATTTTTTTTGTTGAAGATCATATTTGGATGGTGGGTGGTTTTTTGTTCATGGCCCTTGCTGTTGTTGAGCGTACCATGCATGGTTTTGATTGTTAGCGTATGAAGGGTAGGGGTTAGGGGATGACAATATGCAAGGCCTGAAAATTAGGAATGCACCGTTTGTCAGATATGTAAGCGGAGGTACTTAAATCCAAATATATAAGTAAGAACTTGTTTCGTCATTCAACTCCACAAATTTCGCTGTCATAAACCTAACAATGTTGTGCCACATCCCAATTGGTTGTACATAAGCTTCAGCTTGTTCAGTTGCTTGGCTAAGCTGAAGTTCATATTTAACAACGCAGCGATTGCCATTCCAGTGACTAATGACGTTCATCGATCAATCAACGATCCCTAGTACCTCATTCGCACACACATTTCGGGGGACAAAGGGAACAGGGCATGCCGAAAAACCACATAATGCACAATGTAAAAAAAAAAACCAAATACGGAAACCTAATATGTTATATAATGCAAAATCACCATTTAAACAGTAACACTCCGCCGGTTGGGCGAACTCAGTGGCACATGCGGCAACCACCGGTTGACAACAGATGGACAAAAGGCAATGCCACATCAGTGGCAACCACAAATACAAGAGGCTGTAAACGAGCCTTAATGGCCATTCTATCCTTACGGACACCATAGTCCAGTACTGTATGGGAGAAGGGGGTTTGGAGGGAATGCAATCAACGCCAACACATTAATTCACGGTTTCAGAACCGGAACAAGAACTACCGCCACCACAGCTACCACAGCAATGTTAAGAATCGTCACGTTCGTTTGCATGCTTCTCAGTTCAGCTATGATGGCAGACACCTCCACCGCGGGTGTATTAGTGACGGGGGCGGTACTTGACGGGGCGGGATCGGGAACTTCAAACCCTGTTGCTCGTGCAAACTCATCACACCAGCCAATGAACGTTCGACAGGACCTCTGCAATACAACTACCTTAACAATCCGAAATTAATGGAAGAAACAGTTCTACCGAAGAACATACCAGGGCGTTAGCGCAGCGATAGTAGTGGCGGCCCCTGTTTGCTTCAAACTTCCAGACAACACGAACTGCACAGCTTCGACCACAATTGCAATATAATGTAGGCCAGACCGTGCTATTGACCGACCCGGCTGAAGACGAAGAAGCCATTCGCAAAGGTTAATCTCCTCCGCGACACCGCCTAACTTTATCTCTGGCAAACACAAGGATACGGCGCTCCCACGGTGTCGACGGACAGCGGCTGTAACAAGAATTTGGGGGTTGGAGGGAATAGGTTTTGGCCAACAGTAGTCAATACATTTGTTTGCTTATTTGGGTGTCGAATGAGGTTATTACTTGGTTGAGTACTTGGAGTCTCCCATCATGTATAGTTGATGTTTCGAAACGAATACAATAAATATGAATAATCTCACAAACCTCCCCTGAGGTTGATTTAAATTTCACTGGCATCCCCTGACATTTAACAGAAATTTCATTGACCTCCCTTACTCTATTGCGTTTTTGGTAACAACGCAGTCCAAATCTAATTACAATATTATTTTCATGTGTGAGAAGGTATTTTTATTCCATGGATGCCCCTTTGGTCCTTGTATTGGTAGAAGATTGAAAGAAGAATAAATTATTAGAATGATTACTAAAGTTGAGGGGTTATAAGTACAACAAAAAAAATTGTAAGCACCAGATGTGCCAGGAAAAATGCCGATTTTCACAAATTTTAACGCAACTAGTAGGTTATCTATTCAACATAAAATAAGTAAGTAATTAAACTAATTAAATGGAAGAGAGTGAGAACTAATTAAATGGAAGAAACTCATAATAGAGGAAACCTATACAAAACGAATATTAGTATATCAGCTTTTAAATTTTACTCACGTAAACTAATTGACAATTTCAAAAGCTGGTTGGTAATTACATTTAACGAGAATAACAGAAATTTAATATGTAATGAAGGTGATTAAAAAATTATTACTGCTGGCGGCAATAGAAGAAGTAATTTGGCGCCAATTTTTGAAAGTTAAATTTATGTATTTAACATAAATTGAATATGTGAAAGTTAAAAAAAGAAAACGAAATAGCGCATGACATACCAGCTCTATATGGCAAACGTTGTACCTTCTTTTTATGAGAAACATACCAGTTCTTTATAGAAAAAATGGGTTAAATAGCGGCCAAAGGAAAACTAATATGTTTTGTACCAACTTTTTATGGGCAACATACTAGCTCTTTATAACACCAAATACTGGCCAAGACAGAACTAGTATGGTTTTTATTTCACATAAAATAAATATATGACGGTTTAGGAAAAATTGAACAAACAACACATAGTATACCAGCTCTTAAAAATAAAGTGGCATGTTCTGTAGTACGTTAAGGTTCGGATTTTTTTTGGAAACATACCAGCTCTTTATAGGGAAAAAGGGTTTAATAGCGGCCAAAAGCAAACCTAGTATGTTTTCAATTCAATTATAGTATTTCATTTTATTAGTTTTATAACAAAAAATAATACTCAGAGAAAAGCCTTACAGAGGAAAAACACCAGCTCTTTATGCCATTTACCGCAAATAGTAGTCAACACCAGCTCTTTATGCCTCTACTCAATTAATGGTTTCGGGTTATGACGTTCGTGGCAGCATACGAGGAGTCGGTCTGGCAGGAGTATATGCATCGGACGCGACCTTTTGCTTGCCATTTACCCCGCCCGACCTGTATGCCAAATCTGTGCTACCGACTTTTACGAGTTGGTTGACGACCACAGGTACGAACTAACCCTCCCTGTTTATCACTGCGGAACCTCATCTGCTATGCAATAAACGCTCGTAAATTTACGATGTACCCTTTTTATTTTAGGACTGTTCATGTTCCCTTTCTATCGGTGTATTGTTACGGTTCGGATGAATTGACCGTATTGACACATACGTTGGTTGGTTTGTAAAAATGTTTCGGATGACAGTTTTTTGACGACAGAATGTTGCGTCATTTGCAGGAGAAGTCGCCACTTTCCCATTTCTGTTCGAATGAATGCTACAATTAGTCGGATGAAATTGAATTCGGGATATTACACCTGATCAATCATTATTGGATTTTATGAGGAAGTAGTTGTTGTTTGAAGTTTACTCCATTCTTGGGACTTTCAGGGATTCACTCAACTGTGCTCAGTAAAAGGAGTTAACCGGTCATGGCCAACGAACAAAAAGGGAGTTCAGGAACCTCCATCCTCTCCCTTCCGACCGAGGTGCTATCCGAGGTGCTTGCACGTGTCGCATCTTCTTCATCCACTGATCTTTTTCGAGCAAAACTGTGGTTCGTTCTGCTATCGATGATACAAACAGGAAGAGGCGTATTCTTGTTTCATTCTGTGCTTTTCGTTTTAGTTTAATGGATCATTTCTATTATTTTGCAGCTGTAAGTTGTTTTACGAAGTTTCGGACGCAAACAACATTTACCAGCGGGTGTCACTCGACAAGTTTGAAATCGTTCTGTGGCAAAAAAACCACAAAGTGTCGAGATTCTTGAAGAACTGTAGAGAAAGCAAAAATCCAGAAGCCTTGTATCGAAAAGGAGTGGTAAGCATCGGGCCGATAAAACTCAGTTCCTTGAATATTCTACCTTTTCATTTGAAGTTGGTAATGAACAATTTAGTCATGTACGGTATAACTCCTGGTCAACGTTACGACAAGTTGGGTTGCTTTGGAACGTAAGACGCAATAGTTATGGGAAAATTCGGTAATGTTTTAAATGGAATAGTAATGAACTAACATTCCATAAGCATACTTGAGTTATAAAATTTGTAGACTAAGCTCACATCATCTCTTTCATTTGAAATTCATTGTGATTTTGGTCAGCACACTTCATCCCCAAAAGATTGGCCTACAACAGGTTACTGCAGCTTTGGGCCCCAGTAAATAATTGTTGTCCCGCCGCCACTGTTCCGCCTGCACTTTTAACTTTTTCGTTACTCAGTTTTACGCAAGACTGTAATATCAACCTTGGCACTGCTTAGGTTGATTTTTTTACGGACAAGCATGAGGACTCAGCATTGGAATGCGTGGAAGAAGCTGCTAATTCAGGCCATGCCGATGCTGCATATGCATTGGGAATAATTTACATCTTTGTTGGTAGGGACGAGTTAAAGTGCAAAGGTCTGAGACTGCTCAAGAAATCTAGAATTCTGAAAGGCAGAGTGAAACTTTGCAGTGACAATTTGCTAGCGCTGCTGAGGATGATATGGGTCAAGAATCTTGTGTTTCTAAACCCAACGTCCATTTGTTTTGCCATGACACATGAGAGGAAAACATCTTCATGGCCTATGGATGCAGATGAAGTGGAGGAGAGTACATGTGAAGACTGCGCTTGCGATGAAGAAATTGGAACAATTTGTGCTGCCCTGCCTTATCGTTAGTGTGTAAGATTGAATGTTGACAACTCCTATGACTGTACAAAATTTTCACCATCGTGTACAAATTAATTATGTTCGGAAACTGAATTGACCGCTACTTCTTACTCTCTTAATATTACTGGTATGAAAAGCTAAATAGCTTATCTTGGCCCTTGTATGTTCTGACTTTTTCTCGAATCATTAATGAAGTTAGTATACGATTTTCTAAAAATCCGGTGCGTTAACAAAAGATTAGCACACTGCAATACGATTGGTTTTTCAGGGGCGTCGGACGAGATTGGGCGGTGGTCTGCAGGGCTCGTTACGCTCTATATTTACCAATGTACATATACACGCTCGAAGTACCTTCAGTACAAAACTACATACATATGCAAACTCAACAAAACGCCGTTGTAGAGAAACGTGTATGAAATGTAAGAATAAAGGATGATAGTTAGAAGGTAAAGAGGGAACTCCTCAGCAATGATCTACGTGACGGATACTGTACTGAAGTGAGAAGTTTACTAACTACATACGAAACGGTGATAGATTAGATACTGCAAAAAAATTTACTTATGGAAAAAAGGGTACTCTGTTCTTATAATGGAGGAAAGCCATAAAGAAATTGTCTTTTAAGAGAATGTGATACTATATTGAATAGACCATGATTTGATTTATGAAATTATCCAAAGAAAATTTAGAATGATTTTGTCAATTTAATTAATTAATTATTATACATATTCATATAATGCATTATATAATTATGCTAATATATTAGTATACGTATAAGTAATAGGAATCATTATAATTATATAATATTATATTACTATATACACATATATATTATAATTATATGCACATATAAAATACATTTATAAATATATATAAATAGTAATATGTAAATATATATTATAACAATATTTATAATATACATTTATAAAAATATTAATTAATATATAATATACTTTATAGTCATATAATATATTAGTATAATTATACAATGCATAACATAAATATATATATAATAATGACTTAATTAAATAAACAAATTCATTCTAAATTTTCTTTGGATAATTTGATAATCCAAATCGTGGTCCCAGTCTGTAAAGTATCACTTTGTCGTAAAATACCAGCTCTTTATGGCATTCCTCCATTATAACAACAGAATACCCTTTTTTCCATAAATAAATATATTTATCGGATAAAATAGCAAATAAACTCGATTTACAATAATAGACCTGCTCTTTATGGCTCTCCTTTATTATAAGAAAAGAGTACCATTTTTTCGTAAATAAATTTATTTATCAGATTAAATGAAAATAAACAAGTTCTTGAATAAAACGCCAGCTCTTTTTGGCTATTGTCCATAAATTATCCATTTTCTGATTTTTCCATAGGGTAATTCAGGGGAGGTTTCTGAAAGTATCCCTTATAATATATGTGTATATAATATTAATAAATTATATAAAAGCATAATTACATTTGTTATTATGAATAGATTGTAATCTGCTGCCAAAGTAATTTGGCTTGCCATAACCCGCTTCGGAATACACGCTCCAATACCGAATTGGATTAATTTTCGTTTGACTAAATCGGGTTTGCCTCCCTTCCACGCCCGTTCCCGCCTGATCAATTATCCCACAAAAAACTTGTCTTTCTTGAACTTCTCATCGTTTCTCCTGTTAAACCCATCAAAAGCTCCGTTGTTGTGTAAACACACTGAACAGTTTCGGTTAAAACTTTCCCCCCCTTCTGAAATTTGGAGCATTTCGAACAGTTTTAGGCGGCAAGGTCCAAAAAAAAGTAGATTTATCGCGTTCGCTTCCTCTGTTGCTCAAAGTACTCAATAATTGAATCGCATCCCGGAGCAAGCATAGGCAGTAACATGGAGGCCTGTATGAATCTTCCAGTGTATGCAGGCATGTGGGTCGACGTAGAAGGTCTCGCTGGTGAGTGTATCGATATCACGGAATATCTGAATGCCAAAAATTTGTTAAATTTGCTGACAAATAATGACAAGTGCTATGATGCGATGGTTAGGGAATTCTATGCTAACTGTAGGGCAAATAAGCAGAAGTCTGTTCTGCATTCAGTGGTTAGGAATGTAGACATGGAATTGTCTACTGAGGTTTTGTGTTCAGAGTTTGGGTTGGTTGACAGTGGATACACTGTTGACTATAAACGGATTAGCGCAAAGAATGTAGATAAGGTTGCTGTGAATGGGTACAATGACCTAGAATTTCTTGGAGAGATTAGGCAAAATAGTGACAGAGTTATAGACATGGGGAAAAAAACTAAGTTTTATGCGCCGTATATAAAAGTGTTGCCACGGCTGTTACATCTGATAATAACTCATAACATTTTACCCAAAACCGAAAGTATCACTTCCGTTAGTGCATTAGAAAGAGTTATATTGTGGCATATGTTACACAAACAACCCGTCAACATAGGCAATTTGATCATTGCAACAATGCTCAACAGGATTAGGAAGATTAAGAGCAAGAGAATAAGAGAACACATCTCCTTTTTGGTATGTTGCTGACCAGGCTCTTTAGGCGCTTTAATGTGCCATTCTTGGCTGACCATGTTGACAAAGGATTTTACGCCCAAAAAATGGAAGTATCGTACTTCAAAAAACTGTCATTCAAAGTTGAAGATGGTGGTTGGATGTGGAAGAAATCCTATACCTCTGATGCTGTCATTGGGCAGACTGGGGACTCGAATAGAAAAGTTGAAGAAATAAATGAGATGGATAAGGGGGGAGTGTGCTGGGGTCGAGGTGCTGCCGGTTGTGGGGGAAAAGGCACACCTTCAAGATGTTGTCATACTATTTGAACAAACCAGAAAAGGAGCAAGTGTATGTGACAATGTTATTTTACTCCTTTTTGTTTCTTCTTCTCGATGGCAACACAGGAGAATAACTCAATATTTGTATGACTAGGTTGCGGATAAAGTGACACAAATTTTACAAAGGGTTGGTGCCATCGAAGTGAAGGACTGCGGATTTGAGACATTGCCATTTCTACGAGATGTAAGACATGCTCTTGCGCTCTCCTGTAATCCCCTTTATATATGCTAATATCTTTATTGTCCAGTGTCTACCACAAGCTTCTGGCATAGCACCTAATGAATTGAAAGAAGCCGTATGCTTTCATGTCAGAGAACTCGTCCCGCAGATGTATGTTAAAGTATCGGTATTGTCAATGGCTAACACTGATCTCGCTTTTATCTGATTATTGTAATCATGTCAATCATTGTTCACAGCTGTGTCAGTACACTAGATAGGCAGCATCTCTTTGATATTAGAAGAGAAGAACTGGAGCAAGTGATGCTTCAGGAGACATGTCTCAGTGACAAAGTAAGTTTTTTATGCGATTGCACAGGCCTACCTTGTTCACTAATGTCGCTAAAAATTGTCCACTCAATGTTGAATGTTTGAATTTGTTCCATTCTGTGAAGGTTGTGACCCAGTACCTTCACTTACTCCAGAAAGAATATAAGCAATTTGTTTTCTTCAATCCTATGTTTTGGGTACGTAACGATAATTATTGTATGTGCTGTTGTGCCTTGCAAAATGTGGACCTAATACTTGCTTCTCAATCACTTCCTTGTAGCTGAAATGCGTGTTAGACTATCCATGCATATCTCCCGCAACTAAAAAGACATTCGTTGATCAAAGCAATGACGACTCCATGATAAATCCTGAAAAGGTAAACATTAGCTATCATTCTCGCCTTAACATTCTTATACAATATGAGTAGCAGCTGCATGTTAGTGGAATTGGGTTCAGCCTAACATGCCTTAACTTTTAACACATTCAACATTGATTGTTGTATGCGATTGCAGATTTTTTTCCCAATCATTTATTCAAATTATTGGTTGCTCATGATTGCACATGTCAAGGACAAACAAGTGTACATTGTTGATTCTATGGACAATTACAAAACCTTCTACCAAGGTTTGATGCAATCTGTGGTGAGTAAACTTCAAAAGCATACCTTAGCTTCATTTCCGAAAAAGGTAACATATTTCTAACATTCGATACTTGCTGTATTTATTTCCTTTTTTAGGAATGGATTTTGATGGAAATTTTCCACGAAAATCAACCCTGGACATTTATTCTTGTAAAACACAAACTAAAACAGACAGACGCGGCGAGTTGCGGGGTTTTCACTTTGAAGTTTGCGCAATGTTGGGCAAAGGGGTGTCGGCCACAATTTGTAAGTGCACAAATGGACAATCCCTTGTGGCAAGCTCACTCTATTGTGTCTGACATTGTTTCTGAATGTATGTACAGTTTGATGTTGTCATTGCTAGAAAATTTATTGCCTGGGAGATCGCTTTGGGTAAACTTGCGGACCCGTTCGCTTATGCTGCTTTTCTAATACAAAATAAACAGACACATGAGGCTGTAACCAGAGGACATTTGCAAGATGATGCTATCAAGGATGTGGGCCATCAGGAAACAGGGAACGGTACATTATGTCTCGCCTTTACTGTAATTGGTTCGTTGCATATGAAGGCAATATTAAATTTTAAATTCTTTAGGACTGTAGCAAATTATTGGTACGAAATTAATCATTGTATAAAGGAAACCATAAAAAGTGTATGTACCTCTGTTCCGATGCATCTTCTCGTGACCATCGCATTCACAAATTGCTTTTCTACTCCAGCTATTCCATTATTGCAGGGCTGCTGCTCACAACATTGTAATAAATCCTCGACCCCAGAACTTTGCTTTACACTTTTCAATTCCTCTTGTTTGATTTCGCATTATGACATTCAAATTGGATCTCACATGCAAAATCCATGTGCTGAAATGCTGTATGCCTTCAATTTTTCCCTAGCCGAAGGTACAAGGGTGAAAAAAAGCCCGCCAGAACTTGCGTCCGCTAATGATTCAAAAAAGAAGTTTCTTATTCTTGATTTGAATGGAGTGCTTCTGGGCAGTGCATTTACAAGGATGACCAGAAATCGGGACTTTAACTTCAGACCATATTGCTTTGAATTTTTGCAGGTCTGTC